ATGTGGCAAAAACCTAGCAGAGGATCAACCCATGCCCCAGGCCTATGGTATCTGAAACTATAAAAAAGGTTGCTCCTATATCTGTTAGGAACTGCTCTAGGCTGCAAGTAACAGAGAACTGAAATAACAGCCATTTAACACAAATAAAATTTATTTCTGTCTCATGTAAAAGAAACCCAGGCAGCAGTCCCAGGCTCCTAACTGTAATCAGTGACTCTGGCTCCTTCTACCTTTCTGCTGTGTCTTTTGTGCAGTTTCCATCCTCATGATCACCTCAAGATCCAAGATGACTGCTGGAGTTCCAGCCATCATGCCTGCATCCCAGGCAGGAAACTGGAGACTGGCTGTTTGTCTGCTTTGTCTCTCCCTGAACCTTCTCTTATATTTCCTTGATTACCCTAGCTGCAAGGGAGGCTGGGAAATATGGTCTTTCAGCTGTGCACACAGATTCCCAGAATAAGGATTCTGTTAGTAAGAAAAGGAGTGTGGATATTGAGTTGTCAGCTTGCAGTTGCTCCCACAGTTCCTACAGACAGACAGACCTGGGTTTGATTCCAAACCTGGTTTGGCCATGCCCTGTTGGGTCCTTGCTTGGTCAGTTTGCATCAAGGGGGTCAAGGAGAAGAATGCTTCTAGAACCCACAGGGCCTTTGCTACCCAGTGTGGAGGAAGCATGGCTTTCCTTAACCCCACCTCCTGGACAGTAAGAAGCAAGCCCACTAGAGGGCCTTACCCCACATGCTCCTTCCAGAACAGGAGGATGAAGGGAGGCTGTGCTGTAGGAATGTTAAATGCACAGGGGCACAGGGACAATAACGTGAAAGGAAGAGCTGAGTAAGAGGGTGTCCTGGCCTCAGGGCTGGAGCTGGGGGGATGCAGGGACATAAAGAGCAAGACCCCCACGCAAGCAGCCTATGAAAGGATGGGCCTGTCCCAGAGTGACCATATAATTTATCTTCCAAATCAGGATGCATTTGAGTTAAAGGGGGTGCTATTAATAATTATGCCCCAAACTCAGGTGTAAATCAGGCTTGTCCTGCGAAAACTGGGATGTATTGTCACCTTACCTGCACCCTACACAAGAACATGGGGACTGAGCCCCCTCTAGGCCTAAACTAAGCTTGCTGGGAGTGGTTTTCAGGTTAGGAAGGTGGCTAGAGCTGAAAACCTCTGCAAACTCTTAAATTAAAAAAAAAAAAGGTTGAAAACAAAGAAATGGAGAAATTTTAATGCAACAGAAATAGCATG